GCACGCACACGCAACGGTATGACGTTATAATTTGTGTGCCGCAGAATGGTTGTAACAATGATTAGATAGCGCGCGATTTGATTTCCGTTTCGCAGTTCCCTCGTGAATTACGGTCACACTTGCGCACTGTAGCGCGCTGTCTGCGATCTTTCTGAGTTCATTAATTAAATAAATGACCGACATTAAGGCGTACTTGTCGTATTAATGATACCGTGCTTTCGCTCGCGAGTCCAAATAATAGGTGGGAGCGAAGCGTACTAGTAGTTCCAAGTGTAACATGGAGCGGATATGGCGTGTGATTATTCGCCTATTCGATGGAGCGCATTGATTTTTCTCCGCGGTCACGGGCGATTAAACCAGTCGCGTTTCATCACACCCGTGTCTCTCTGTGTGCGCGTACTTGCGACCAAACTCAAATATGCCATATAAATCCACGACTTACGTATCCCTTTTGCGTTTCCCTATACAGATCGTAGCGCGACAAGTCACGTATTATTTGCAAATCGAATTTATTTAAAATTCACCGGTCGCGAGACGTTGCTGTACACGATATGCAGTGTGTTTGCTACGTAACGACGAAAGAGAAATCAATAAAAGCGAGCAAGCCGAGGTAAATGAAAAGGAGCAAGTTTTGGGGTCGGCTTTAATAAAGTCGAGTCACGCTTCATACAGGGAGATCTTTAAATCGTCCTCAAACAAACCCGGCCAGGTCCTTGATCGCTGACCCGCGATCCGTTTGTTACACATCTTGCCCTCGTACTCTCTGCTTTCTCTCCTCTCCTCTCCTCTCTGTTTGCCTTTCTCTCCCTTTCTCTCTCTCTCTCTTTTTTTCTCTCTCGTTCTCTTACTCAGCTTTCCGCTTTCCTCGGGCTTCGTCTCTTTCTTCGTATCGTGTGCAAAGCAACCTCGCATGAGAGCGCAGCACAATGGGGGTATTAAATGGATGTAAGGTAGTGGGTAAAGCGACGCTCTGACCAGAAACGTACATATGAGTATCTCGAGCAACGCGTCACGAAAATGAAAGTGCTTCGCAAATATTGTCCGTCGTCGACCTTACACACGGTCCCGAGTCGACGACGAGCTGGGAAAGGAAGCGGGGAAAAGCCAAATCCTGTGTACATATTAGGGCCACCAGTTCAGGCCACTTTTCGGAAAGCTTTCTTTCCTTTCACCATTATCGGTCGGTTTGACCGTTTGGGCGAGAAACCGCAGACCCAAAGACAGGTGCGGTGCTTTAGCAAATGGCACGCTCCCTCGGAAAAGTCATTGCAGTCGCTTACCTGACTCGACTCGAGGGAAATATCAATAATGCCATCTCAACGTCAGACTGTTGTAACAAGTTTATACGATACGTGCCGACATAATTATTGTTTCACAATTACGGGTGTTGTGAACGTCTTTGGGATATTCTCGCTTAATTGGAACAATGACAGTGATATTCATATTGCGAGACATTTCTCCATCAAGATTTTCATTTAACGACCTTCTAATTTCGTGGCCCTAAAGTAGTAACTTCTCGTGGTCAAAATTGCTGTCGCAATCCCGCCCCAGGCGGTTCTCGTGAGGTTGACAGGTTAAATTGTTACACGAGGAGCCTTCACATCTTATTATGAATAGTAAGAAGCGGTACCCTTCGGAAGATATTTCTTCTCAAGGGTCCACTAATCGTCAGATCGCCCGAAAAC